TTTGGGAGGCTGAGGAGGATGGATTGCTTGAAGTCAGGAGTTTGAGACCAGCCTGGGCAACATGGTGAAACCTTATCTCTACTAAAAATACAAAGATTAGCCAGGCGTGGTGGCAGGCACCTGTAATCCCAGCTACTCTGGAGGCTGAGGCAGAAGAATCACTTGAACCCAGGAGGCGGAGGTTGCAGTGAGTCCAGATTGTGTCACTGCACTCCAGCCTGGGTGACTGAGTGAGACTCCATCTCAAAAAAAAAAAAAAAAAAAAAAAAAAAAAAAAAATTCTGGCTAGGGGCAGTGAGTTACTAGAGGATTTGCTAAGAGATATGTGAGGAGGAGGAGGTGTAAAACAGGTGGAAGTTAAGGGTCACTTTATTAAGTATGGTTATTCTGAACCGTCGTAGCCTCCATTTTCTCACCCTGGCATGGAAAAGGTGCCCCTCCCAGAGAAATCATCATTGCTCGCTGCATGCAGAGAGCAACAAGTTCAGCTCACTCTTTCCGCAACTAAAATTTCACCAATGTTTTCAACTCAAAATAATCAATATACCAATCTGGCATATTTTGGAACAGCACGTCCTTCACTCCTTCACTACCTTTTCCTCACAGAGTCACATTATTTCAGGAATCTAAATTTGGGCATATATATTTTTTAATATGAACTAAGAGGCCCCAATTTAAACCCTGGAGTTATTATATGTTTTTTATTAATGGTTTCTTGTGAATTTTTATGACTTTTATGTCTTAGTATAAAATGGTTGCTCCGTGTGACATATGCAACATTTATAGATTCACATATTAGTCAGCTACAATTTCATAGCTAAGTGAGAACATATGCTCTCTAATAAAATTATATGAAAATATTTGATTCTACTGAACATTTACTCTAAGTTGTCATTCAAGGGTTATTTTCCTTCTTAGTGTGAATGACAACTCTATGTTAGCAGTTTTTGATTGATATTATTATAATTTTAACTTTATTGATCATTTACTTTGTGCGAGGTCTTGTGCTAGGGTAATGGTAGATTAAAGGTGCATAGTTTCTATCTTGAAGAAGCTTTCTTATGATGGCACAGTGGCTCACACCTGTAATTTCAGCAATTTGGGAGGCTGAAGTGGGAGGATTGCTTGAGCTCAAGAGCTCCAGATCGGCCTACACAACATAGTGAGATATCCATTTCTTCTTTTTCTCTTTTTTTCCCTCCCTTCCTCCCTCCCTCCCTCCCTCTCTTCCTTCCTTCCTTCCTAATGGAGTCTCTCTGTTGCCCAGGCTAGAGTGCAGTGGCACATTCTCACCTCACTGCAGCTTCTGCCTCCCAAGACTCCATTTCTAGTGTAAATAAAAAGAAAGAAGCTTTCTTTGTGGATGAAGAGATAGACATGCACATAACTGGCTAGACTGTGGGGCATCATCTAAGAATTATAAGCCAAGTGACAAGCGAGTGCAGTGGAGAAATATATTTATTTTGTCTTTGGAGTTGGGTGAAAACTTTACAGTGAATCTGGCAGTTGAGCAGCTCCTTAAAAGACTCTGAAGTAGATGAACTGCAAAGGGAAAGAAAGAAGGCCAAGTTGAGAAAACACATATTTTCTTGGACTCACATTATCTTGATATGGTGAGTGATGGGATATAACGGTATGTTGATGCATATTGTAGATTAGTCTGAGGTTACATGCACAGGGCCTATGAATTTTTGGAAAATACTCATGTGGAATACCAAAAGAGGCTGAAAGTAAATCTGACTTTACATTGAGCATATTTTTGCAAAAAAGTATAAATCCCAGCGGAATGTAATTCCCCCTCCCTGATTCTTAATATTTTCTTTTGAATTTTAAAACAGAAAAAGCTGAGGGTGATCAGGATGATAAAAAGATTTATTAAAATGCTTTCAAAATCACCTAGAATTTGAAGTTTATTCTGTTTTTACTTGGTTAATGTCATCTCTTTTCAAAATAAAGGCAAAGCAAGATAACAGGTTCTGCTATAGCAATAGTGATTTTTGTTTCACTTTTTCAATCTTCTTTTCACTTTATTATAAAGCCAATTCTTAAAATGCACATTGACTTCATGCTTTCACATTCTGCAATCTTATTATAAATGTTTCTCTCTGAATTAATTCTGATATAGTTGTTCACTGCATAATGGCTGAATTTTCGTAATATATGAGCTGCAATATTAAAGCACAAAAATGATACTAGTTTAAAAAGTAAACTAGTTTTAATTCTGAAAATTTTCTTATAGCTTTGTGTATTACTTAGCAGAGTGGTTCTCAAACTTTTTGTTCTCAGAACCTGTTTACACTCTTAAAAGTTATTGGAGACTCCAAAGAACTTCTATTCATGAGGTTATATCCATCGATATTTAATGGCTAAGTGATTATGTTAAAGTTTTCAAATATTTATTCACTTAGAAAAATCCATCATATGTTAACACAGATTAACATACATTAATTTTTTTAAATAACAATTTTCAAGAAAAAAATGTTAGTGATAAGAGTGCCATTGTTTTACCTTTTTGCAAAACTCTTCATTGTCTGGTCTAACAGAACACAACCAAATTCTCAGGTGCTTCTTCATTCAATCTGTTGTAAAATTACATGTCATGTATCCTCTAGAAAATTTTTCTGAATACTCAAGAGGAAGAAGAGGAAACAGAGGCAAACAACATTTTAATATTATTATGAAAATCATTTTAACCTCACAGATCCACTGAAGGTGTTTGGGGTTCCCAGATCACACTTGGAGAACCACTGACTTAGAACAATATTTATTCATTGTTAATTATGTATGAAGATAAATGGAACTCAAAATTACTTATGTACTGATACATATATCAGTTAGAAATAATGGCATACATTTGTTTTAGCTTTCCTACTTACACAATCTGAATTTCTATACAAGTTGAGTATCCTTTATCTGAAATGCTGTGGACGAAAGATGTTTTAGATTATGAATTTTTTTGGATTTTGGAATATTTGCATGTACATATATTGGGGATAGGACCAATGTCTAAACATAAAATTTATTTGTTCCATGTACACATAGTCTGAAGGTGATTTTATACAATATTTTAAATATTTTCTGCATAAACAAAGTATGTGTTAAATACTTATGTGTGGAACTTTCCACTTGTGTTGTCATGTTGGTGCTCAAAATGTTTCGGACTGTGGGCCATTTCAGATTTCAAATTTTCAGAATAGATATACTTGACAAGTATTATGAACTTAGTTCTCCTCTCTGACAAATTATTCCTAAGAAGTGTTATGGGTTAATATAAACATCTAGCAGAAACTCGGTCCTATTATGTCAATCGGCATGAAAAATAACCACAAGTTTTGACTCACCTATACCTTTAAACCTCATTCTGAATTATTATTATTATTATTATTATTTTTGAAATGGAATCTCACTCTGTCACCCAGGCTGGAGTGCAGTGGCATGATCTCGGCTCACTGCAACCTCCGCCTCCTGGGTTTAAGCTATTCTTCTGCCTCAGCCTCTGGAGTAGTTGAGACTACAGGTGTGTGACACCATGCCTGGCTAATATTCTGTATTTTTAGTAGAGACGGGGTTTCACTGTGTTGGCCAGGCTTGTCTCGATCTCCTGACCTCGTGATCCGCCCACCTTGGCCTCCCAAAGTGCTGAGATTACAGGCATGAGCCACCACGTATGGCCTCTGAATTATTTTTTTTAAAAAACTTTTTATTTGGCATAATTGTATATTCAGAGGAAGTCTCAAAAAATGTACAGAGAAGTCCTATATACCCTTCAGCTTGTTCCCCCATTGATACTATAGTACAGTGTGAATACCAGAGAACTGACATTGCTGCAACCTATAGAGCTTATTCAGACTTAAGACACATACACACACGTACACACATAATACTAGTGCTCTGTTATGCAATTTTATGTCATGTGTAGATTCGTGTGACTAACATCCCTGTCAACATGCAGCTGTCCCATCACCACAGCTCCCTGTGCTGTCCCTTTAGAGCCACACTCACCCTCACACACTTCTTTCCCAATGCTAACTCTTTGAAACCATTAATCTATTCTCTATCTCTATAATTTTGTTATTTTCACAGTGTTACATAAATGGAATCCTATAGTATTCAGCCTTCAGTCAGCATAATTTTCTTGAGATCCATTCGAGTTGCTGTGTGTATCAATAGTATGTTCATTTTTTTTTGTTGTTGCTGGGCAGTATTCCACAGTATGGACATATCATCATTTGTATAAACATTCACCTGCTAAAGGGCATTTGAATTGTTTCCAGTTTTTTGGCTACTCTAAATAAAGTCTCTATGAATATTCATATATAAGTTTTGTGTGAACATAGTCTTCATTTCTCTGAAGTAAATGCCCAAAAGTGCAACTGTTGGGGCATATGGTAAGTACATGTTTAGTTTCATCAGAAACTGCCAAACTATTTCCCAGAGTGGCTGTACCATTTTATATTCCCACCAACAATGCCAAGTTATCTTGGTTCTCTGCATCCATGCCAGTGTTTGGTGTTATTTTTTATTTTAGCCATTCTGATAGAGGCATAATATGTCATTGTAGTTTTAATTTGCATTTCCTTAATGGCTGATAATGTTGAATACTTCGTGTTTATCCTCCATCAAATAATTGTATATTTTATATTTCATATATAAGCTTATATATATTTTCTTAGGTATTACCTGAGTTCCGTGTTTTACAAATAAGAGTATTGAGGCTTCTTAACAGGATGACATATTTAAAAAGAGAATTTATTGTAATTATTATTAAACCCATTTCTAAAAGTTAATGTGAGAAATGAGAAGATTCAGTTATCTACTTCTTTCCTAAGGAGAGCTTTAAAAAAATTTTTACATGGTTTTAGTATATGTTGGGAGCTAAAAGCAGAGAGGTCAAGACACTGATAACTATTATTATTAGTAATGTTGAAACTACTGGTTGTTGGTGTGGCTGGTAAACAGATTTTAGATTAACTCTTTCTTTTCCCCACATCTGTCTGCAGGAGAGCCATGGATTCCTACAGAAAATACGCAGCTATCATTCTGGTCACCTTGTCGGTGTTTCTGCATATTCTCCATTCCCTTCCTGAGGGCGAGTTTACAACGGAGGGTATGTGACCAGGCTTGAGTTTGAAGTAATAAACACAACACACATTTCTAGATGCACATCAATAACTCCATTAATTACATTTCTACCTCCTTTTCAAAAGTAATAAATCTTTGCTGCTGGATTCATATCTAAGCACTTGTAGACTGTGAACATAAAATTAAATTAAGTTCAGAAAATGTGCAGTGAAAATGATATCTTACACAACCATTTATACAGCAGCCTGTACATTTTCATCTGAAATAGATTCCTTACTATTCTTTATTTGAGTCTTACAAGAAGAAAATGCTCCTTATTCAGTTAGCTTAGTTTTTTTTTTTCACATTTCTCCCAGAAGATTTGAGATTTTAACATTGCCTTTGTAGATGAATTTTCACGTCAGTTAACAAGTGAAGAAAAACAAAACCATTTTATACAGTAAATTTGTTTTGCTGTACTGCCTGAAAAATCTCATATAGCAGCTGATATAATTCCTTCTGCTTTGAAATTGTGAGCTACTATTGGTTATGGTTTTTCTCTAGATAAGAGCTAATATTTTAATCCAGGTCCCAAGTGGAGATGCCTGATCTAATATCAGGTTCCCTACACTCACCAAGCTTTCTTAATTTTGACATATTTCTCTCTGTCAATAATTTGAGTTACTGTGGGAAAAACAATAGCAGATTCTAAAGGGGCAAATATTTTTCCTCTGGGCATCATTCTCTTTTCAGTTGAACATGATGTTTTCATCTGTCAAGTTTATGTTTCCTTTAGGCATGTGGTTAGCACTGGGATAGAGAATCCATGCTTGAAGAAAGAGTGACTACAACTGAGATTTTCTATGCATGTCTGTAAAAATGTTTGTTTTTAAATTTTATTTCCTATGAACATGACTCTAATTAATATAAATGTTAAATAGATATTATCGATGAAGATTAACATACAACCAAAAAGCACTTACTTAGTTTCCTTTCATTTTTGATGGAAAAATAATATTCACCATCCCATAATAAGAAAACATTCATAGTTTTTTTTTCTTTGTTGTTTGTTTTCTCTTTTCTTTCTATTCTTTTCTTTTTTTTTGAGAAGAATCTTGCTCTTTTGCCCAGGCTGGAGTGCAATGGTGCGATCTCGGCTCACTGCAACCTCTGCCTCCTGGGTTCAAGGGATTCTCCTGACTCAGCCTCCAGAGTGGCTGGGATTACAGGTGCACACCACCACACCCAGCTAGTTTTTTTGTATTTTTAGTAGGGACAGGGTTTCACCATGTTGGCCAGGCTGGTCTTGAACTCATGACCCTCACGTGTTCCACCTGCTTTGGGCTTCCAAAGTGCTAGGATTACAGGCGTGAGCCACCACATTTTTTCTTTCTTTCTTTCTTTTCTTTTTTTTTTTGAGTCAGGGTCTCACTTTGTCATTCAGGCTGGAGTGCAGTGGCATGATCTTGGCTCACTGCAGCCTTGACCTTCCAGCTTCAAGCGATCCTTCTGCCCCAGCCCGTCAAGTAGCTGGGACCATAGGTGTGTGTCACCAGGACTGACTAATTTTTGTTTCTTTGTAGAGATGGGGTTTCACCATATTGCCCAGGCTGCTCTCGAACTCCTGAGCTCAAGTGATCCACCCACTTTGGCCTCCCAAAGTGCTGGGATTACAGGTGTGAGCAACTGTGCCACCCTCATAGTTTCTTTTTGAATCTTTGGATTATTTGACTGTGCCTTTTTTTTTTTTCCTTGATAGAGTGCCCGGAATGCAAGCTAAAGGAAAACAAATACTTCTCCAAGCTGGGTACCCCAATATATCAGTGCACGGGCTGCTGCTTCTCTAGAGCATATCCCACTCCATTTAGGTCCCAGAAGACAATGCTGGTTCCGAAAAACGTCACCTCAGAGTCCTCTTGCTGTGTGGCTAAAGCATACACCAAGGTAAGAACCTCAAGGGTCTCAGAAGCTTTCTAACTGCCCAATCTGAGAAATATTCATAGAGCCCACCCATGGGATTTAATGCCAAAGGTTAATGACCGAGACTCTGTTGAGCATTTGTACAGGCAGGGACTACATTTCTACCCACTAGTTAAAAGAGCCAATTGTCTTGTGGGTACAGGCTGGATTCACTCAGAATAAGGAGAATAGGGGTAGAGGGACAAGGAGCAGGTTGGGAGAAAGTAAGCTTACTTGTGCTAAGAATATCTCCTAAAATGGGGACTGTGCAAATGTAGTATGCATGTATTTATTTCAGCAGACTGCAATTTTATTTAATATTCTTCCATTTTGTCTCTCTATCATCTAATCTATAATGTATAATATCTGTTTTTTTTTCCTTCCCCTTTAGGCCACCGTAATGGGGAACGTCAAAGTGGAGAACCACACGGAGTGCCACTGCAGCACCTGCTATTATCACAAATTTTAAACGTTTTGCCAAGTGCTGTCGTGATGACTGCTGATTTTCTGGAATGGATGATTAAGTTGTTCAGTGTTTATGGCTTTGTGAGATTAAAACCCTCCTTTTCCTTACCATACCGCTTTGACACGCTTCAAGGATGTACTGCAGCTTTATTGCCTTTCTCTTTATCCCACAGTGGAATCAGTAGTCTAGTTCTTTTCATTTGGAATGAATACAGTATGTAGCTCGTTCCACTGCAAATAAAGCCTTTTAAATCATCATTCAGTCACTGAATTATCATTCTTCTTAAAAGTAAAGCCAATTGCTTTTGACAGCATTAATGGAGGAGAGTGGGCCATTGAGTGAGTTGGGGCCACGTGTGTTGGTGATCTAACATTGGAGAGCCTTGCTGTTACCACACCTTCCAGCAGCGTGTGAGTCCTTTCAGCTGGTGGGCTACTTAGAGGACATTTATTGGGACAAGAGAAGAAAGTATGAGAACTTCTATTTCTATTCATTTTTATATAACTTTTTAAATTTCCATTTTGATGGATTTTATAAAAGTACAGATACATTAGTATGGTAATACACGTACACAATTTAAACAAATAATTATCCATATATTGGGAACGTTTGATCAGAAATTTTTTACTGTTAGAAAAGTGCAATTAAAAACCAAAAGAAAAATGGATTTGAGAAAGACAAAATCATTCCCAGACTGAAGTTTCTGTTTACTTGCCTTATGTCTGGCTAAAAAACGCTCATCTTATTAGTCCCTGGCAGCCAGGCTATTACTGAATAGTCGCCAAGGAAAGAGCATCTTTGCACCCAATTAAAACTGGGCATTGTTCTGAAATTCCAGAGGCATCAGATTTTGTTTTTCACATTCAGATCTGGCTGATAATGAATAAATGATGATCAAAATATTCATTTAGCGCTCACTGTGGTCTAGGCGGGATGCCCGGCATATTCACTTTGTTTTTAAAACTGTTTTAGATGGCCGGGTGTGTTGGCTCACACCTGTCATCCCAGCACTTTGGGAGGCCAAGGTGAGCAGATCACTTGAGGTCAAGAGTTCGAGACCAGCCTGGCCAACATGTTGAAACCCTGTCTCTACTAAAAATACAAAAATTAACCAGGTGTGGTGGTGGGTGCCTGTAATCTCAGGTACTCAGGAGGCTGAGGCAGAAGAACTCCCTGGACTCAGGAGGTGGAGGTTGCAGTGGGCCGAGATCATACCACTGCACTCCAGCCTGGACCATAAAGAGCGAGACTCAGTCTCAAAACAACAACAACAACAAACAGAACAAAACAAGAAACTTAAGAGTAGTGCCATGCTTCAATATCACACTTATTGAGCATTTATACGTAGAGGTGGTCCTTACCTTGAGGACAATGGTATTGTAACTATTAAATCATTTTAGCCATCAGGGAGATCATAGCTACTCAATGAAGTCCTACTCCTAACAGAGCCTGTAATTAAAAAAAAAAATCATACCGGTCACCAATAAGGTTTTCAGAAAGAAATTTTGATCAACACCCATTTGTCAAAATTTTATTTCTGAGTGTCAAGCCAGTTCCTTGTTTCTTAGCTGGTTGGTAAACATATCACGTGTTAGGGTAATAAGTTAAAATAGGAAGTGCATGTACTTTTTTTTTTTTTTTTTGGAGATAGAGTCTCTCTCTGTTGCCCAGGGTGGAGTGCAGTGGTGTGATCTCTGCTCATTGGAACCTCCGCCTCCCAGGTTCAAATGATTCTCCTGACTCAGCCTCTCGAGTGCATGGGATTACAGGCACATGCCACCACATCCAGCTAATTTTTGTATTTTTAGTAGAGACAGTGTTTCACCATGTTGGCTAGGCTGGTCTCAAATGCCTGACCTCAGGTGATCTGCCTGCCTTGGCCTCCCAAAGTGCAAGGATTACAGGCTGTGAGCCACTGCACCCAGCCATTTTTTGTATTATTTTTAGTAGAGACAGGAGTTTCACCAGGTTGGCCAGGTTTCACCAGGTTGGCCAGGACTCCACCTCCTGAGTCCAGGGAGTTCTCCTGCCTCAGCCTCCTGAGTACCTGGGATTACAGGTTGATCTCAAACTCCTGGCCTCAAGTGATCCCTCACCTTAGCCTCCCAAATTGCTGGGATTACAGGCATGAGCCACTGCACCCTGCTTTTGTATGCACTTTTTAAGAAACATGAAAAGACACATGAAGACATTGGTCCATTTCTTCATTTATTTATTATATTTTCATTGAGTGTATAATAAGTGTTGATATTTTGTTAGATCATTGGGATTTAGATATCAGGAACCTCTGGAAGATAAGATTGAGAAAATATAACACTGATTAATCAGAGAAACAATGGTGCTGATAGTTGGTTCATGTACATCTGTATTTAGCAGATATCGACTGAGAACCTACTAAGTGTCAGGTCTGGAGAGCTTGTTTGGAGGGCTCATCAGTGATGGAAAGCTTCTGACACTTCTTGGCTAGAATGTCCCTGTTCATCTGGAACCATCCTATTGACAGAGGGAATGGAAGGGACACTCGAAGAGTAAAGAGAAATGACAAGGACATTCTTGTGTCCATTAAGCTCAGCCAGGTTAACCCTGGTGAGCACTAGGTGAAATGTCATAGCCATACTTAACCTCCTGTCTTACCATGTGCCAGGCATGGTGCTGGTCCAGTGAAGGCCAAGATGAATAAGACACATACTCTGCTCTGAAGCAATTCACAGTCTAGTGCAGAAGAGCAGCATAAGCAAATTACAATCAAGAGAGATGTACACTATGGGAGAGGAGTGAACTTTGGTGGAATAAAGGGAATGGCTTATTCAGCCTGTTGGGGCTCATCATAGAGAGCCTCACAGGGCAACATGATCCTTGAGTTGGGTCTAGAAGATAGGCAGACAGATGGGGGAGGGTGCATCTTAGTTTGAGGAAACAGCATAAGCAATTATTCTGAGATAAGAAACGCTGAGAGTTCAAGGAGCTCAGTGTGACTGGACTGCAGGAAGCTGGTTGGAGGACTGGAACTGCAGCGATAAATACGAACCTGTCAAGAAGGTCCTTGTATGACATGCAAAGAAATATGGATTTTAACGAGGGTTCTAGTTTCTCCAGGTGGAGGGCTTGGGGGTTCCTGAAGCCACAGAATAAAAAAGAACCTTTCTCCAGGATCAATTTTGCTTGAAGATTTAGGGAAATGTGATTTTTACTTCAAAACAAAAATGGATATATGATAGAATAGAATGCAAAATTGCCAAAAATAGGACGAAAAACAGTGACTTAAAAAGAAACTTCATGCTGAGGGTGGGGCCTTTCGGATCCTGCTCTTCTGAGCCCTCCCAAACCTCCAGTTTCACTCTTGCATTAAGATAACTTAAGTGGAGGAGTTTGAGAAGTGCTATTAATATTAAAGGAAGGGTAGTTGCCGGAATTCCAAGTTTCTGGATGAGTCTGGCTGAGAAAATGGTTGTCATGGCTTTTGGGACAGTCAATTTGAAAGCTCTGAAATGAGCTCTTGAGAGAAAAGATTATAATCTCAAATATATAAGCAGCAAGGAGGAAGAGAAGCAGGTGTGGAGGCTGGCAATTTTGTTTCAAGACCATCTGTGAAAAATACCTGAAAGAAACCCTAAGGCAGAGTAAGCACATGTTCGAGGGGGTGCTTCTATCAAAAATACTGTCTATCGTTCACCTCAGCCAGAAAGCTGCTCCCAATTCTCCCCTGTGAGATTCCTTCCTTATGGCTAAAACATGGTATCCCGAGCACCTACTTTTTAAATGACAACACTCCTAGGAGATGCAATGCAGTTGGCCATTAATAGTTTAACATAACTATGACACTAGTTTAACAGACCATCAGTTCTGTCTGCACTGGGAGTTCCGGACCCTTGTTGGCTGGGAGGTGGGGGTACCTTGGCATCATGTTAAAAGGATAAAGCAAAGATGCAAGACTTCTACTATTTTGTAATTGTGTCAAGATTTGATCATGAGAAGAAACTCCAAAGTGATGATAGGGATACTCTTAGTGACTAGGACTCAAGGAGGAGGTCAATGTAACAGTGGCGGCACTTGGCCTTTGGTCTGTCTCTTGGGAGTTAAAGGAGGGCAGGAAATGATGAAAGGGAAAGAGAGTTACTAGGAAGGGAGGAGAAAGAAGAATGAAGCTGCATAAAAAGTGTGGGGAGGAAAAATGTATGATGGGAAGAGAGAGAGAGAGGCCGGAAAGGCTGCTGGAGAGTCTCTAGCCTCAGAGGTGGCAGAGCTGGAGTCAAGCAGAAAGAACAGGCCATTACTCATTTCCACCCACTCATGCCCACCCCGCTTCCCCTCTATCAGAATATAAATAATCACCCATAGTCAAGATCTCCAGGCTGTATGCAACTATTGTACAAATTGGAAAAGGATGCCCTCTCTGGGCAGGCACAGCACTTGAGTAAATGTCTTCACAATCAAAAGGTGCAGAAAAAAGTATTTTCCCTCAGGCAGAGGTGGAGTGGGGTCTGGATAGTTGTTAGCCCTCACTTCCTGGCTGGGCATCTTTGTGCAGTACACAAACGTGCAACCTTACATGGCAGCTCTGTCTAGAATCTCACCATACTAAAATGACCATTGTTGCATTTTGAAAAATAATGGCCTAAACTGGTGAGAATCTTGACATACCAGATTCCAAATGTTGATGTCTTTATTATTCTTATACTGCTTGGGGTGGGGGATCCTGGGTAAAACACTGTTCCAAATATAGTTTTGTTTGGTTTTACCATGTATAGAAAAGTAGAAGAGGTGCTCAGAATATGGCAAAGGACAGGAAGGTAAAACAAAAGCATACACATGCAAATGACCATGAAGGTGACATGGGGAACTTGGTTAGGATCACAGACTGCAGTAAGACCAGAGAGATCCACTTACTCAACAGAAAGTTAAACAACATCAAACTGCCTGGCATTAATGCAGCTCTTCTACTTACCTGGAACTTCCTATGTCTAATGTGCCAATGCTTCTCACTTAGCCCCTTCCAGACTGCGAGTTGAAACATGTGGCACCATCTTATTTGACAACTGGATAAACAGAGGCACAAAGCTTTGGCTATGTAGGAATGAAGAATGTGTATACCAAAAGTGGGTATCTCCATTTTTGTGCGTTTTTTTTCTAATTCCAATTCTTTCCACATCTATGAAGTTTTTACTTTATCTACCAAGAACCTATTTCCCTCTGGACACTAGAAGAAAACTCTCCTGGAGATTTGCCCAGGATGTAAAGCCATTCTGTTAAAAGATCTGATA